TTAATTTAAGAGTTTAACCTTTCCTTTAAAGCGGAGTTTCCCCTCAGACTGTGTTTAGTTCAGTTTGAGGTTGTTTAACAGGTGTGACAGTAAAAAAGTGTAAATTATTCACCTGCTGCTGCTCCTCCTCGGCTCCTCCTGTCAACACACACAAACATTAGCATCAAGCCAACGGCCTCAACATGCTACATCCGGTCTGGACTTTCAGAGTAAAAGTCTTACCGATGACCATGCCAGGACTGTCTTTACTCTAATGTTGGTGATTTAATAACCAGAATTATGCGGAGTGGAAAAACCCTCACAAAGAAAAGCTGACACAGAGGGCTCTACATAATAACATAAAAACATAAAACAACAATTATTATGTTTTAAAATATAATAAAAAGCAATAAAACAAATGCCGTCTCATGCTGGATCAAAAGCCGAGGAATAAAAGTGGATTTTTTAACTCAGAATAAAAAAGTGTGTAACACTAACAAAGTGCACGGCATGATGGAAACACAACAGGGTGAACCAATATTAGTGCATCTTTAATGTTTAATGAGGATAAGAGAGAAAATCGATTCACATAAGTATGGCTATTTGTTGTTTTACAATCTTTAAATTGATTTATTTGTTAAAATAATATTTTTTTTAATTTAAAAATGAATCTTAAAAACTGACTTACTGATGTGTATTTTTTGGGGGAATACGGTTCCTGTAATAGTCAGTAGACGATCATAATCATTCAACTGTTTCACTGGAGTTAAAAAACAGACTACAAATCAAGAAAATAGACAATATCCTAGAATCGAAATTTAAATCGAATCGGCATCCAAAAAAATCATAGAAGAATCGAATCAGGAGAAAAGCGTATCGTCCCAGCCCGAGTATTTAACACAAGTCTCTGAGGTTGTAATCACACATTGAGGATAAAGTGGTTTACTCTTTATTCAGTGATGGTTTAATAGAAAATAGTTTTTGATGTTGAAAAAGTTACATAAACTCAAACACATGAACGCTCTGACCTCATATTTCTGAGGGTCTGAAACTAAGATCCAGTTAAAGCTGACTCTGTCCCTCATACACATTACACTGTGGACAAAAGACAATCAGGTACAAACTGAAAATAATAATACTTATTGATTCTACTATTTCATCTTTCAATTAAACGACAGTAATGTCGACATCTGAGGAGAACTGTTTTACACTAAAATGTAATAGAAACAATCTGCTTTTATTTTGAAGGTCAAATCACCTAACTTCCTGAACTTTCACAGTTTTGTCTCTGTAGCTTGTTGCAGCTGAGGAGCTTACCTGATCCCATATTTCCCACCATGCACTGCGGAAAAGAGGCTGGACCGGGCTGTCCTACCGGAGCTGGGCCACCTGTCGGTGAAAGAACCGGGACTAAAGAGAGACGATTATCGACAGATTATCGATAAGAAACAGCTGATGATCAGCACATGATCAAGTTTGATCAAATCTGACCATGTATCATTACAGGATATTCAAATGAAAGCTGTTTAATTCAGATGTTTAATTAATGATATTATTAACCTGTATGAATATCTGCAGGTATATTACATTACTTTAACTGTATCCTCTCACAGCCTTTTCACTCAGGTGACTGAGCTAAAGTCAAATGATTTTACACTGTTAGTATGTTTGAGTTGGTTTTATTAATGAACAACTTAAATATCTTTAAAAACACAGAGACTGAAATTGTGTTAGAGATGATGATCTGTGTTGTTGGTTCGACTGAGCTGCACACAGTCAGATTAACACGGTGGTCCGAGGGGTCGAGGGTGTCACCTGCTTTAGGCTCATTAATGTCCCTTCAGCTCAGCCTGTGCAGGTCTGAGGTCTGAGGACACAATCAACTGAGAGACATTAAGACCTCCTTACAGCAGGTGTCTGCAAACAAAGAGGGTCTCAAGAAAACACACAGCATCTTTGTGAGGGTAACACTTTAATCTACAGCGGGTTTTTGTCCTCTTGGTCTGTTGTCCGGGGACTTCAGGGACGATTAAGAGACTCATGGTGGTCCTCGGGTAGATATGAGACTTTGGGGGAGCAGGATGGTGGACTGTGGTGGAATATAACCGAGGAGACTCTGGTGATGAACCTGAGTGCAGTGTTGAGATACTCGTATCTTGACTGACCCTTAAATCAGATGTGAATATTTGAGGGTTCACTCCCTCATACTTGAAAAAACAACTCGAGCTTCTTCCAGGATAAAAAATTCAACAGAAATGAAACTTTCATCACTCAAGAGAAAGACAGTTCCTGTTAAAGACAACTCTCTTAATAGTACCTACATGATGTTACAGGCTGCAGTGGAGGAAATTCTCTTCATATTCCAAACAGTGAATTAATAATATAAAAATATGAGAATAATCCAACTGACAGGAACTTCAGATATTTCAAAATAAAGTCAAACCTCCCTCTGCTGCAGAAATTCAGTGTTGAATGATTGATACAGGTCGAGGACAAAACCTGCCAGTAGATGGCGCTCTTTTCTTTTCCTTATCCATTCAGTAACAGGATTAGCATGTTGCTAAAGCTAATAACATACAGTCATGGCAGCTCTGGTCTGTCCAAAGTTATTAAGGCGAGTTTCCAGGATGATCAACATGCTGCTTCAGAAATTAAAGAGGCAGTCTGCAGCTGTGTGTGTGTGTGTGTGTGTGTGTGTGTGTGTGTGTGTGTGTGTGTGTGTGTGTGTTATGTGCTGCATGTGCCCGTCTCTGACAGTTATATGAGCAGGCTGACGGGCGGCTCA